TGTTTTTTTTTTAATTTTAATTCTCTCGTGTCGAGAGTAAACAATAATAAAACTTCATAAAAGGGACGCGAAGTGCGAAAACAAACAAAAAACTTGGTTTTTTGCCCCCAGAGGGTGCGCTGTCGCAAAAAAAAAATTGTCCATAAAGCAATCGGATTTTTTATCGGTTTTTCAGCAATACAGTAACTTTATCGCCGGTTTTCCAGCAACACAGCAATTTCATCGTCCCCGTTTTCCAGCAATACAGCAAAACCTTATTGCCAGCTTTCCAGCAATACCAATTTTTCATCAGCGTTTTCCAGCAATACAGCTAACTTTATCGCCAGTTGTCCAGCAATACAGAAATTTTATCACCGTTTTTTTAGCAGTACAGTAAACATACACGTGTTCTCTGTTTTATTTTTTAAAAGAACAATGTAATAATAAAAAGACAAAAACCGATGAAGAAATAAAACTTTGGTAACAGATTTTGCTGGTGCCAGTGACTCAAATAAAAAAATTATCGTCCATATATATATATATACTTTTACTTTTTTTGACTTTTCGGTGTTGGTGCCACATGGAATCTCTCGCAATGCCTAAATTCTTTGATGTCAGACGGAATCATCTGTTAATAAAAGAAATGTTACTATCGTAGTGACGTTAATTAAACGTAACTGTGACGAGTAACTCACCGTGATACCACCACTTCGTTTTCTTGGGATTTTTACTACACGTTTTCACGTACAAGGAATTGTCGGGTGGACGTTTCTGTAACGGTAATTCGGACTCTATGACGTCATCCCCAATATATGCTCGTGACGAATATTTAGAACTTGACTTACCTTTTCTTTGCAACTGGACAACATAGAAACAATACTGAGGCACACGGATTGTACCGAGAGAGCGGGTGACCAGTCCTCTGTCAAAATCGATAGACAAATATGACCGTTGCTGTAGACGTGCGGATGTACGGGAATATTTGGCCCAATGAAAGTGACCTGTGACGTAATCATTATCGTTACTGTTGCCGATGTATATAATACATTAAATCTACTTAAAAGTTTACTCACTTCTGGTGAATCGAATGGATATTTCTGACTAAATTTAAATAATAATTGGAACTTTTCGCCCTCGTAAAGGGTCCCTGCAGCACCTTCCATGTCCACCACCCATCTGTAATTTAGAAACAACATTCTTATTAATCATCCCAGTAATGTTAACTACTACGCTAGAATTGTCGTGGGTCCTGTTCCTATTTGAACTCGAGCATTTTCTAGACTGATTTTTGGCTTTACATTATTATAAATCGAAAAATTCTACTTACTGGGTTAGATTTGGACCGATATTGTTTGGATTGACGCTAACACCGGGTGGTGGTTCCTTCTGTATGGCCATTAACTCTTTCTGGAGCCGTTTCTGAAATTAAATAAAAAAAAATAACAACTGACGTTTCACATTAAAACGAAAAGACTACGATAATTACAGAATAAACGTCAATGGTTTTTCAAAAAAACAAACAAGATATCAAGAATAAACACTCCAGCAACACAACTACAATTGTATATCAAGATTTATTAATATGCAAAGTCAGTATGCACGCTACAGTAATGGCGATTTATTGATTGTTTATCGATGTATACGTATTTAACGTGTTTGTTCCGGAAAAATACTTGTTACAGCTACTTTCCTGCAATAAACACTTTTATTTAACACTACATAAATATCACTTTTTTTTTTAAAACTAGAACGTCTCACCGTTCCAGGATTAGACATCGTAGGATTTCCAGTTAATTCGATAGAGTAATGCTTGAAAGGATTCGCTGTAGTCGTCTGGGCAACTGTTCTTTACATAAATTTTCGTTGCGTTCTGAAGAGTTGTTGACACTACCAACTGATTTTTCTGTATTTTTCCTGTACATTGCGGTTTTTTTTCCCCGATCTGGCGAACAATATAAAGGTTATACAGAGCTGTCAACTGGCGTTAAAACGAGTTAAAATTTTCCTTTAAAAGCCAAACTAATCGATCAGATCTCTTCCTCTACGAGAGAGCATTTCCGAGGGGAAAACAAAAACAATTGGAGGAAGAGATCAGTTTTATCTAATTGAATCTTTTACAAACGATCAATTGGAATCATTTTTTTTTAAAATCGAAATTTAATTCGATATTTCCCTCTGTATCAAGCAATTTATTGATTTCTGAATCAATACCCCCATGTAGAAAACGCATACAACTGTGCCGACATGTCAAAAAGTTCGATGTAACGTTAATGCATATCGAGTATTCGTGACACAAACAACGCCTTATCAACCAAATCATCATTTTCTAGATAAATGAAGATGATAAAAACTTTCACAGATGATAAATCGATCGTTACGTTGTTAGTAACATGTCTATACGACCGCTAAGCGTAAGTAGCGAACGAATTAACGAAATTAATGGCAAAATACGCAGTGTTTATAAATATTTAAACCGTATAAATTAGAGTAACAGTGTGTTACTCTCAAACGTATATAGTTTAATTCTGTTCAATGTTAAAAGGTTACGCGTTATCTCGGTTCATCAGAAACTAGTCAAAGCTACACACGACTGTAAAATAGGTTTACGTGTATCGAATTACAGTGAAATGGTCTGGAAGTTACGTTATAGAGGTCTGTACATAAAAAGAAGATAAGGGAAAAGGGGGATTTAACATCTGGACTGAAAGTAATCAATGAAGGTCGATACACCAAACATTTTTACTGTTTACGAAACGTTTATAAACGGACTGTTTTGGGTGCAACTCCTATCGATTTATGGCCATTTTTCGCGTTTCTAAGAAAAATTCACGTCGAATTACTTTGATAACAATAACAAAGTCTACGCGCTTCTAACAAATAAAATTTGCATTTAATCACGTAGTGTTTACACGCAATTTACAATTCCTCCCCAATAATTTTCACTTTATGAAAATTTTAATAGGAAACAATCAATCGTACGACTCGCGTGTTTCATTTTTAGCTCCTTCGAAATTATAAATTACCTTCGTTTTTAACTTGTAGTTCTTGACCTAGATACTGAAAAGTATCAGAAAAGTTATATTATACCGTAAGTTCCGTGTCGAGTGTGTGTAAAGATTTATGTGTAAAGTCGTTAGGTGTGGAGGAGATAACGAATTCATAATTTTCTCCTAGTCGAATATTATCTTTGATTATATTGGTGCTGGTGTAGTAGTGGATCAATAATAACTCGCTTAGTAAAGCATCTGGCATTCCTTTTATTAAACGTTTTTCAGAACTGCAATTCAAGGTCTTCCCAACATCGAAACTAATTAGATTTCCCTATGCTTTGTACTGTACCTAAGGCTGTTCCCTTTATCTTTCTCTCTCGCTCTCTCTTTTTTTAATACATGTAAACGTACAGCAAAATTGCTACGTACTTTCCAGGAATAAAAATCCCTGACACTGAATGAATAATTAGAAAATGAAAATATAAAAGAAAGAAAGTTTTGATTTACGACCTTGTTTACTCTAAAAAAACAAACGTAATGAAAAGCATAAAAGAGAACAAAAACAGGAAATTTAATCTTTGGAAGTGCAAGTTCATAGATTTCTGTCCTTGTTTAGCATAAAAATTGAAGAATTTGTCGTCTTGAATATTTGCTGAAATACAAAAAAGTAGCCTATTTTAAATTTATTCATGAATCAGACTGAAAGTAATAAGTTCAGATCCACCTAGAATTGGTAAATTACAATTTATTACTATCAGCTTAGTGTAACTTATCCTAGTTTCTTTCCACCAGGCAGTTTATCCTAATTTCTCTCGGCCTGATGCAAATTATCCGTTTCTTTAAATGTGATGCAGTTTATCCTACTTTTTAAAAAAAATATGCAGCTTATTCTAACAGATCACAATAATTTATATTAAGCTAAACCATGAGCACAATTTAGTCTTGGAATTTCTCGTGCCAAGAAACAACAGATCTATTCTTAACTAATAATCATTAAGTAATGTAAATAATATAAAATATTAAACAGTTATTTAAAATGCAACTCTAAGTTTTTTTTTTATAATTAAATTATAGGAGTGAGAGAGTTTAAAGCATGCTGCTCAAGTTCTATATTCAAGTAGTATATATGAGAATTTACACACGGTCAAATTGAATTTATACCTTCTTTCTCTTTTACGGGAAATAAATAATTCATTATGTTCTTAAATAAAAATTTCATTCAGATGTTTTAACGTTTTACTCTCTATAAATGGATATTTTACAGTCAGAATATGTTTAGAATTACAGATCAGAAAATAATTAATATATTAAATATGAATTTCTTAAGTTTCACAAGTATATTTGATGAACCTAAACAATTTTGAATTGTAAACAAATGTTTTTATATACTTTTTTCTTATTTTTTATCTTTATAAAGCAAGCTTTCTACTTTTATTGCAAGAAATGACAGTTCTAAGGATTTCTTTTAGAGAAATGAGAAGAATAACAGGCATACTGAGTAAAAAAAATGTAAAGAAAAAAATTAAATAAATAAATAAATAGCAGAAATAATCATTTGAATAAGTGCTCCAGTTATAAAAACATAACAAATTAACTGATAAAATAAAAATGAAATCTGTGCAAAATAGTTTACCCTCCAAATTTCTCATTACATAATTTATTACTTTCATTATCAAAATCTTACAATTAAAATTACATACGTACTTGGGATCGTATTTAATGCACTTATTTTCTAAAAAATGATGAAAACTTTAATAAATTTCTTTGCTTAATAAAGAAGAAACAAGATTCAAAGATATTGAGTAAAGAATGGAGAGATAAATGCTTTCTTTCTATTTTCCATTCACTAACTCTGAATTTCATGTATCTTCTTTGTTCTGAACAGAAGAGTGATTTATGCCGTGCAATTACTGCCAACATTTTGCCACTCGAAACTGCAATATGCATGGGCTTGTCTCATTTGAATAAACTCGTGACTTATTGGTATCGTAATTTGACAAGTCGCAACCTTCTTACTTCTATTGAGCAAAATGAATGCTCATGTGTATGCTCGGAATGATTGAAAAGTCATCCAACACACTGTGCAAACATTCTTAAGAACAGTTTTTTGTAATTATTTATTTTATATTAAGCTCCTGGTAGGAACCTCCTGTAACGCATAGTCTTATGCTATGATGATCTCCAAGATATAGAAGCAGGAGTTAGAGTTGGAGGCTTGGTCTATCGACTCTACATCCCTGACAGAAACAATTATATAACAAAAGAATATCAAAAGAAATTTATTGCCTGCTCGTCTACAGTAGGTAAGTACCAGTCCGCAAGTGATCAGTTACTAGTCCACCAAAATTTTCCAGGAGAAAATATGACACGCAACTTAAATCATCCACTCTTGACAACATCATTTGCACTAAATTTATATATTTTTATGGTAATATTCAACATATTTTGTGTAATATTAATTCTAAATATAGATGTTACATAAATAATTAGAGAATAAATGCCTCTATGATTACCATTTAGATATTTAATGTTAATCTCATTTAAAATATTGCAAAACATAAACAAACTTATCGTAAACTGGTTCAACAGATGTTTAATTTGTAATCATAACAACAGTCTGAAAAATTCAAAATCCAGTTTTTCAGGTCATGGACTTTATTTAATTTGATAGATAACTGTTTTGTATAACTAATGAGAAAAATCAATAATTATTTATACTTTCAGTATAAAAACTACTGAGATACTTTGGCAAATGCATAATTCATTCATTTCGACACATACAGATAATTTTATACATAATTATTGAATGTAATTTCTTTTTAATTCTCATTAACTTTCTTCTTTTAACTCCCAAAGTGTTATCTGTAAATTTCTATAAATGCTTATGTGTAAATTTATTGCAGTGATTACTACTTTCAAATTCTACATTTGACAGTGATATCGATTGGAAACAAATGTTTAATATTCAATGCATTGACTAACAGGTAAAGATCTACTTTTTCTACACACTATTTTAATTTTTGATCTATAAATATATTTGCAATCAGTATGGGACTTTGATCTTGTGAATATAATTAGCACTTTTGGGCCAGACACTGTTACAAAATAAGAGATCTAACTCAAACTGTAGCATTAGCCTTGATTTTTATCATAAGATCAAAAGATCTCATCTAGAGACATAAACACACATTGCATGCTTTTGTTTCTCTTCATATCTCATAATTTAAACCTACTAATGTTTAGAATTATGAAATGCTTCATTTCTTTGTATTCACAATGTCTTACCTATCACATATATTGTATAATACTTTAGTATGCACCCATACCATATCCTTGCCTTTAAAAATAAACAAATTTTCTTTGTTAATCACTTGTGTATTAAAGACAATTTCATTCTTTACTTTCCATTGTTTATTCTATATTTTAAGTATATATTTAGCCTGTATGTGGACTCT